AACACTTGAAAATATTTGTTGATTTCTTAATTTAGAGTCTCCATTGATTAAAGAGGTTTCTTTTTATTAGAAACGTTGATGATATAACAGAAAATAGCTTAATTCAGAAACGACTTAAGTTTAAAATTGAATCAATATTTTTTACTTTCATGATAAATTTTATGCACTTGGCTCTAGGCTAGGTGATCCCACTCCACATCTTTACTTTAAGCTTATTATACCAACATTCACTACTCTTATAAGGTTTCGTGGCACCCCCCTCCTTCACTAAAATCATAATGGGCAGACAGTAATCAAACTATTCTATCTGGATAAATTATTTTGGCTTTTATGACTCCTATTTCAAGAAATCAAGCATGACATGATACACAGTGACTTTAAAATGGGTTAGATTTGTCTTCTGTGTAATACTAAGTCACTAATAAAGTATTCACAATAAGCATACCTAGTGATTAACTCTTTCAACTCGGTTCCTGGGACCGATCTTGTAACCATTTTGTGCTTGCTATAGTTTTCATGCTATAACTTTTAAATTAGTAAGCGATTGTTAACGAAATTTGGAAGTTTATCAGTAAACATTACAATGCTTTCATACACAAACTATCAATTTTTTTTTTATTAAGTGTTAAGATTTGTAAAGCAATGTTTCTCTCATGCCTTTTTTTTTTCTTTTAACATCTTGCCTATCTATCAAACAAAGTAATTTTCATTTTAACATTAAAAATATTTTTTTGCATCAGAAAATTTTGCAATTTCACATGTGAAATCTTTATAATGTCCAGATAATTATCAAACATTTCTTAAAAACTTTATATTTTATCTGTTACTTTCAGTAATTAATATCTGTATGGGTTTGGTAAATTTGACCGATCTCGCAACCATCATAAAAAATTAGGAAATAAACACGAATTATGCCTCTTTCATTCATAACATTATATATTTATATATATTTATTATTTTTTATTATATTGACCTTTCACCCATGCCTGGCTAACAATACAGAAGTTACAGCGACGAGGCTCACGTTCACTCATGCTACCATATCAAATAACATAAAGGTGACCATTGGTCTGTGCAAAGTAACTTGTCTTGGCTGTGTTTTAGTTGACTAGTATTTTGTAAAATACAAATACAGTTATACTTCAGTTACAATACATTATTACTCTTTACAAATAAGTTTGTAAAGTTATTTTTCTTAAAACACAGAACAGTAAATAAAGAATTACAGAAAATAATTATATCTTCCAGTTACGATGTTTGTACTCGTTTGCTGCCTTATCAAACTTCGCATGTAGAGGATATGAAAGGAAATAATTGAATAACCAAAAAATCATAAATTAATACATCAGTACCATAGAATTCTACAATAATTTATCAAACTTAGTAACTAAGCTGTATTTGGGTCTAAAAAAATATGAAATTTTGAGCAGACTAAACACACAACCTACCTCATTGAAATCTTCCTTTAAAAGAAAGAAATGATGTTAGGTATGTTAGAAAGGCTGAGAAAACCACTAGGGGACATTCTGAGCTTCCAATTGGTTATTTATGCCAGATGTAGAAGTAAGTGTATATAAGGGAGCATTTCCAAAAATGGAAGGAGGTGAGCGGGTTGCCACTATGTTTCATTTATTACGTGAGCAGTATCTTGGCAAATAGAAATGATAAGACCTTCTTATTTTAT